CCCCTCATTTGAGATACATCTGTCACCATCAAACACTTCCCACCGCATTCTTCACCTCTTGCAACGTATGCCTCTCCATGAGATGGTTTCCTGACCTCATCATCCTCTGAGTCGGTTGACCAGACCTACATGCCACCGAACTCATCATCCGCTGCCGAACCCTGCACAATTAAAGCATTCATTGAAGGGTTAGCAGTAGCTTTCTTTCTCTTGATCTCTTCCAGCTTTTTCATCAACAAGGCCTTTTCATCTTTTTCCTCATCCTTCTCTGCCATTTTCTTTAGAACGCAGTCTTTGGCATAGTGGTTCTTTCCTCCACAGTAGTAGCAATTCACACCTGAATCTTCTTCAACTTTCGCCTCTTTCTTTGGTTCCCCTGTCTTTGGCTCCTCCCTAACCTTTTCAGAACTATATCTTCCCTGCCAGTTTTGGTTCTTATTGGTAGGGAATCTCTTCTTGATGAACCTCTTCGGATTAGACACCATCATTTCATAATCTTCAGAAGTAAGATCATAGTCTTCTAGGTTCAGATCTTCATCTTCTACCACATTTTTTCTTTTAGATAGGAGGGCCAAGGACCCCAAACTTGAGACCATATTCTTCTCTTGCATGACAATCTTTTCTTGGGATTTCAAAATTCCCACCAGCTTTGCCAGCGAATAAGACTTGAACTGCTCGTGAGCTTTGACTGTAGACACAACAGCTCTCCATTCAGATCTTAGGCCATTCAAAAAGGTGACTTTCTGTTCAATCAACTTCCTTTCTATATCATGTTTGATCATCTTGCTAAGAAGATGATTGAAGCGATTGAACGTCTGAGTAACAGTTTCATTAAAATTCTGCTTAAATTCACCAAACTCAGACAAAAGCAAGGTCTGAATAGAATGCTCCAAATCTTCATCTGTGGAATATAGCTCTCGCAGCCTATCCCAGATTTCTTTAGCGGTACTGTAGGAACTCACCAACCTAAATGTATCAGATTGAAGAGCGAATCGGATCAGTCTCAATGCTTTAATGTTGCACTGAAACTTTTCCTTTCCGTCTTGAGCAACATCTTTAACATCTTTTAATAGATCATTATACTCTTTCTGAGTTTTAATGATTCTAGATGTTCCTGAGTGAGCGAATGGTCCTGACACAATAGCGTCCCATATAAGATACCCATTGTCTTCAGATCTGATGACGTAGTCTTCAAAGTGATGCGCCCAAACTTCGTAATCTTGAGCGTAAAGAATAGGAATCTTTGTTGTTGATCCAATACTGTTTGAGATGTTGATAGGATTAGATTGAGAATCGTCCATGCTTGATCGTTTAACCTGTTTGAAAGATCAGACTTGTAATATATAATATTAGGGCAAAACGAATAAGTAATGAGATACATCAATTATGGAGTGACGGCTCAATAAATATCAGTTAATGCGGGATAAACCCTAATAACTTCTTTCACAGAAGAGATGTGTATGAATTACACAGCCTCCTGCTCTGATACCAATTATTGAGATATTAATCTTTAAGATCATTTAGATCTTTCATAGGTTTAACAAAACAATTCAAGTAACGAAATAAACAAGAGATGGAATCAACAATATGCTTAATGATTCAAATGATTCAAGCCTCAGCAGAGCTCGACAAAGAACTTCCGCTATAGAGGCTTTAGGGTTTACAAAATAATGAAGACTATATGATTATCTCTAGAATCTTACGTACTAAGACGCATGTAGTCATCTATAAATACTCAAACCCTAACAAAATAAGTCGCAGATGGACAGGCCCAATCCGGATACAAAATAAGGCTAAGAGACGAGCCCAAGACGCAACACCATATACCCAACAATTTGGGTGCAAATGGATCTTCAAGAAGAAGACCGACATGGACGGTAATGTTCACACCTATAAGGTACGACTGGTTGCAAAGGGTTATTGTCAAACTCCGGGAGTTGATTATGATGATACCTTTTCACCAGTGGCCAAGATTAAGTCTATTAGGGTTCTGTTATCCATTGCTACATTTCATGACTATATAATATGGAAAATGGATGTCAAAACCGCTTTCCTTAATGGAAAGTTGGCTGAAGATGTTTACATGGTTCATCTAGAGGGTTTTGTCAGTATAGAGTACCCTAATAGAGTGTGTAAGCTCGAGAAATCCGTTTATGGATTGAAACAGGCACCTCGCAGATGGAATCTTTGCTTTGATGAGAAAGTCAAAGAATTTGACTTTTCAAGAAGTGAAGATGAATCTTGTGTCTATGTCAAGGTTAGTGGGAGTATAGTAAACTTTCTGGTGTTGTATGTGGATGACATACTACTCATAGGAAATGACATCCCAACCCTGCAGGAAGTAAATTCCTTGCTTGGGAAGTGTTTCGCTATGAAGGACCTTGGTGAAGCTGCCTATATCCTAGGGATAAGGATTTTGAGAAACAGGAGTAAAAGACTAATTGGACTTAGTCAAAGCACCTATGTGGACAAAGTGTTGAAAAGGTTCAACATGCATAACTCCAAGAAAGGAGAGTTACTCATCGAGAGTAACGCCAGATTGAGTAAGACACAAAGCCCTAGTACTGAGGCTGAGATAGCATAAATGAGTCAAATACCTTATGCTTCAGCTGTAGGATCGATCATGTATGCTATGACTTGTACTCGACCTGATGTAGCCTTTGCTTTGAGCATGGTTAGCAGGTATCAGGGAAACCCTGGCAAGGCACACTAGACTGCGGTAAAGAATATCCTCAAGTACCTACGGAGGACAAAGGACTGGGTCCTTACCCTCGGTGGGAGTGATGACTTGAGAGTTGTAGGGTACAGTGATGCTAGCTTCTAGGCTGACAGGGATAATTTCCGCTCTCAGTCGGGATGGGTCTTTACCCTAAACGGAGGGGGCAATTACTTGGAAAAGTTCCAAGCAGGATACAGTGGCTGATTCTACTTGTGAATCAGAGTATATAACAGCAAGCGAGGCAGCAAAGGAGGCTATATGGCTAAAGAACTTCATCGGAGACCTTGGAGTTGTACCAGCTATAAAGGAGCCAATGGAGATTTTCTGTGACAACAATAGTGCGGTTGCCTTAGCCAAGGAACCAAGAGATCATGTGAGATCCAGACACATTGACAGAAAATATCACTTCATCAGACATCGAATAGAAGAAGGAATCCTCGTGGCAAGGATGGTATCATCGGATGAGAACCCAACAGATCCCCTTACGAAGAGACTGACTCGGGCTAAGCATCTCCAGCATGCTCGGAGCATAGGGCTGAAGGATGATATTAGTTTTAGTAGTTAGATAATCTTGAAATTTGTAAAATGTAATTGAAATTTGATGATAAATAAAAGTTGTTATTTATGAGTAAAGTGTTGCTATCACTTGTCAATTGTTTACTATTATTTCTTTTTGCATGTTTTGACTTCCAGAATAATTATGTTATGGTTTATATCATATTATTCAAACTCTCCACAGCCGATCATATGTTGGAAGTAGATATGAATCAAGATTGTCATGGGTTGGCTTATAGAGGTCTAAGATGTTAGACAAAGCGGGGCTATAACACTCATGAGTGCTCATAAGTTCTGAGTATTGGATTCAACACATGCTCACTTATCACTTCATGGAATTTATCTCGAGTGATCGTGAGATGGTAATATCATATAAGTCTTCAAACCTAGAGATATGATTTGTTGCTTATGAGTTGGTTATGCATTGATTGCACGAAAACGCATTAGTAACTCGATGTTATAAACCGTGCTTTTGTGTGTAATTCAACAAGTAGTAGAGCAAACATATGAGTCGAAGTTTATCTGTTCCTTCTAGGTATAGAAGCGATATCTGGGCCCCTCGATGATTTTGTTTTGACCTATGTACCGAGCCCGATCATAACTAAATTGATGTGTTCAGTTAAGTTCTATGTCAAACAAATCGGAAATTAGGAAACAAATGATAGACAATAAGCAAGATCATGTTCCATGTATTTGTCCGGTTGATATTTAGAACAGAGGGTTATATGATCACTTATCTAAAATGGTGCTTCATAGTTCAACAGAGTTTAAAGAGCTACGATTGTTGATCGGTTCCTGAAGTCATACTTGCAACTATAGTTAGTAGACTTATCCAAGTGGGAGACTGTTGGATATAGTGTCTAAGTCCATAACTATATTTGGTATGTACTTGACCCGACCCGGCATGGTCCATTTGGGTTGCACTTCACCCGAACAATTTATGGATAATCTTTTGAGAATAGTATGAGTTATGATTTATTAATATATTATAAGTTCTAATATATTAATACAAAATCATATTATTTAATTAGTATTGATCTATAATTAATTTAGAGATCAAAAGTATTAGTAATTAAATATGTGCTCTTGTATTTATATAGTGTGGGCTAATGCTTATTTGGAATGGGCTAGGCTTGCATGGAAAGTCCATGGATACTCCATGGAGCTTTAACCCATGGATCCCATGGAAATGAAAAGACATGGGTATTAGGGTTTACATGGATGTAACCCTAATCCACCACACTATATAAGGGAGGCTTTGGTTCTTGAAATGACACTAGTTGTGGTGAGTAAAGCAAGAGGGCCGATTTCAAGAAAGGTGATTACTATTCTCTCAAAGTTCCTAGTTTGTGGTGATTTGTGATTTCCATTTGAGGCATCTAAACTATTGGTGCTAGGCTCTAAAACTCCAAGCAATCAACTACAACTACAAGGTAAGTAATTCTACTAGTTTTATTTGATTCAAGTTCCCCATGCCAAGCTAGATAGGATAAGAACCTTGGAAAAATAATTATCTGCATGTATCTTAGTTAAGCATAGATCCAAGGTTTCTAGGGTTGCATGTACACCATAGGAGTGTTAGAATGCTCAAAACCCATCACATACTACTCATGCTTCTAAGAATTGCCAATTTGCCACTAGGGATTCTTAGGGATAATTCCAACCAATCTCAAGGACCAAAATGACATATTTAAATACCAAATGAAGCATTTGAAAATACCTGAAAGCCCAGGACATTACATTTATTATGCAAAATGTTTCATTTTTATGGTTTTTATTCAATTTAACATGTTTAACCGATTTAACCTAACCAGTTCAACCTGGTTTTTATAAAAACTGGACGATTTGTTAAGGTTATAAAATAAGTAATGCTAACTGAACCGCTACCTTCACCGGTTCCTGGTCTAAACCGATTGGACCGATCTTTTTAAACCAATTTTTAAAACATTGATAAATAATGACACAATCACAAAGTCACAATAACATTAAAATTTAAAGGTATATCACCTTATCCCCTATTTCCTCCTTTACTTGAAATATGGCAAGGTACCTAGTGTGCATAAAAAGCAATTAATTTTCTGCCAGAATATTAATACTTCATCAAAAAGTATGATACATGGTAGAAGATACATTAATTCGTTCAAATTAAAGGATCGCTTGTACATGAAACTGGTGATGATGATTGAAGAAATAAGACTTACCTCTGAAACATGTGTAAAACGCACAAGAACTATGCTCCTTTAGTTTTGTAGAAGTCAAAATCCTAAAGCATGACACAAATTTATAATTCAATTAACATTTTTCGTCTTAAAATATAGAAAAAAAAACCCAAAAAGAAACAAAATTCACCATAGGAATGAAGCTTTTCCCAACAATCCAAGTGATTGTGTTATCAATAACATTGGCTTCAATTGGAGCTTCAATGGTGTGTTTGTAAAGAAAGGAAAGCCCATCTGATTAAAGCTTTCACCGGTAGATGAAGAAAAATTCAGATAAAAAAAAACTAAATTAAAAGGGAAAAAAAGATTTATAACACCTTAGTGCTCCGGATAATTTCATCAACTGATCTTTGGCGACTACAGAGACTAATTAGTAGATGAGATAGCAAGGCAGTGGAGCATGTGGAGAAAAAATGATGGAAATTCCAGACATATATCCTTCATAACCAACATCTTAAGGAGCAACTAGATGAAGATGGACACCCAAATCAAACCCAAACTTAAAATAAATCAAACCACACAACCTTATATTTGTATTGGTGTTAATTGTTAAAGCAAAAGAAGAGAGCGGTATTCAAGGTTTGGGTATATGAAGTTTCATCTTCCTTCAAAACATAGAGGACGACATTCAAGGTTTGTGTGTGTGAAACGAAAGCAATTCGTGTCTTGAAGATACAAGTGCATGTGTGTCTTGAAGATAGCAATGCAGACAAATGAATCAATTGCATTTAAGAGATGTTTGCCTAAAACTAGAGAAGCCGAGTGAAACTAGGAAGGTGAATTAGTTAGACTCAATACCGACTACTCTTCATAAGCAGTGACTAGGGCTGTAAATGAACTGAACGTTCGGCGGGAATTTCGTTTATGTTCGTTTATTTAATAAATGAACGAACATGAACAAAATTATCGTTCGTTTAGTTAAATGAACGAACGTGAACAATGGTCTCGTTCGTTCATTTATGTTCGTGAATGTTTGTTTATGATGTTTGTTTATGTTCGTTCGTTTAAGTTTATTTATATTCATTTATATTCAATTTTTTTATTTATTATATTGCTATATTATATATTCGTTTATGTTCATATATGTTAAATTGTGTTTTTTTTATCTTTGTTCGTTTATATTCGTTTAGCATGTTCACGAACATAAACGAACGAACATCAACAAAGTAATTTGTTAAACGAACGAACATTAACAAGAAAATCTCGTTCGTTTATTCGTTCGTGTTCGTTTGTTGTTCGACTAACTTAAACGAACGAACATGAACAAAACATTTTTCGTATTCGTTTGGTTTGTTTACAGTCCTACCACCGACTATAATTAATATTGTATATAATTATAATATATTATTATTTTATTAGTACACGTTATACGATTATAAAGCAATTAAAAGATATTTATTATATTTTAAGAGTCATGAATAAATGGTATTTAATTCATATCATAAAAAAGTTATTCATATTGACTACATTTGGTTTATAATAAGTAATTTCGCATATATTCCTCCCAATATCCTTATATTTATCAAATAACATCATCTCTTAAAGTAGAATATATTATTATTTTTTATAATTTACAAGGTTCTAAATAACGTAAGGCGTGACTTGGCGGTAATGTCAAGCTTCAAGCTTTTTCGAGCATTGGCGAGTCACGTCGTTTGTAAGACATGATTTAAGGCGGCAATTTTGTATATAATTCATATTTTTATATATATTTTTTACTATTATTCATTTTTATACACATATATGGGTCAAGACGGCGTTTTGGCAAAATTTGGCGGCACATGCAAGCCTTGGAGTCATGGCGTGCCATGGCGGAGCCATTGCGAACTTTTTAGAAACTTGATAATTTGTAATAAATGGTATTTAATTCATATCATAAAAAAGTTATTCATATTGACCACATTTCCTTTATAATAAGTAATTTAGCATATATTCCTTCCAATATCCCTATATTTATCAAATAACATCATCTCTTAAAGTAGAATATATTATTATTTTTTATAATTTGTTAAATAATTATATCTCAGTATGACACTATCCATCCAAACGAACACCTTCATAACTATTTCATGAAGTAAAATATATTGTTATTTCCTGAAGTAAAATATATAAATTCAAGAATACAAGGACTACTTGGACAACAAGCTCAAAAGTTGAGGGATCGAACTTGCATAGCAATCTTTATTGCCCCGTCGACACTCATTACAATTATTGTTCCTTTTTTGTAGGTTTATAGCTTGTGGTTTAACTATCAAATTATTGTTCCCTTGTTATTTTTAAAAGCAAAAGAGGGACACGTAAGGCAGCCATGTTGTCTCATCGTGACCGTTTGATGGGCACATGAATTTCATCTACTTTAAATCTAAGGACGAGATCTAGTTTTATGATTTCAGATACGATGTAGACGATAACTTATTCTCCTGCACCCCAGCGCTGGACCAATCCAAATATGCCATGGCATGACGTGTGTGCTCCCATGATGGAACTTGTACAGTTGTATCGTCTTTTTGGGTGCGCATATTAAATTTTACCAATTCTGGTACTCTTCAAAACTTGTACTTTTGGTAAAAGAAAACCGTTTGTAATAATTAGTTTTTTTTTCTTTTAAATAAATAATTTTTTCATTACATATATTATGATCAAATAATAAAATCTTAATAATGTGTATATGGTTATTATGAATGAATATGGGTTTTTTATGGATAAATATAAAATTTACTAAATTCTTATAACTTCATAGTTTTGTATCACTAATAATCTGATTTAAACTATGATTTTTGAGGGTCATAAGGTACTAGGAAAACATAATATTATATATATATTTCTTGAAAATATATAAAACAAAACATATTCTATAGTACCAAGGATGCCTTCAACCCAAATCCCTAGGCCCGCAATGACTCCCTCAAAGATTATAAAACCAATTTTGTAAATTGACAATTAAGGCGGCTTTGTAAATGGATCTATCTATTTTGGATATTTATATTTATGTAATTATTTATTTTTGAATAACGGGTTAATGGTTACTGGTTAGTATTTCGAAATTATTCATGTCATAGTTGAAACTCAAGACCTTCGATTCGATCTAAGAGGTAAAACTCTACCAAGTTGGCTAGTGCCACATTAGCTATATTAATATAATTATTAATAATATATGGTGATATTAAAAAGAAAAAAATATGATTGATAAAGTTAAAAGGAATCTATACGGGTACTCCAAAATAACATAACATAATAACACAAAAATGGCTTAGATAATTTTATTATTGTAAGATTAAGTCATACCTTTTTTATTATATTATTTTATTAAAATATCATAATAATGGCATCAAACTCATCATTGAGGTCGAGGCTACACCAATGTCTGACTCGGAAGTTCTTGCCCTTTTGTTAGAGCTGGTGGTAGATCACAAATGCACTGTTTCCGGATAAAGGACCCATTTTGGACCATTACGATAAATTTCTCATGCTTTTTGGTTGCCGAATGGTTTACTATTGTTTTTAATTTTGTGTTGATAGAAAGCAGTTGATAAAATGTTGAAATCATTGCTACCACTTCTATGCAAATTTTTAATATTGTTAAATACGTTGTTAAATTTGGTGCAAGTCATTCGAAGGTTATGCCATTTTTGTCACAACCAGCATTTTCAGCTAGGAAGTTCTATTCCCATGTGAACATCAGCTATTGTAGAACTTGTACTCTAAGTGAATATCATGATATATGCTAACCTGAAATCATCCATTTGAATCCAAACTTTTGATTGAAGTTCAAAACCTAATACAATACATCTCATATGTTCAACTATGGATTGAAAACCCAAAAAATCCCGATTCAAGGTTATGATGGACTAGGATTCTCTTATTGGGCCTAATGGACCAATAAACTTTCAATTTGACTACTTTGGGCCTAGGAACCCTATTTAGGCTCTAATTGGACCCACATCCATGAAATTAGGGTATTTTGGGTCATATGGGCCTAGAATGATCCATCTTATTTCTAATGGGCCATGATGGGCCATAACTAGTTTCATAAACCCTAATGGGCCGTAAACTACATCATTGGGCTTCTTTGGGCCGTGAACCCCCATAAAAGCCCAATAGGACGAAAAATATTTATTTTGGGTCTCATAAACTCTAAATAAGACAAGAGAGGGACCAAATCTTCTCATTTCCTTTCTCCTTACACCATTCTCAGCCCAACAAAAATACAAAAAAAAGGAAGATTAACTAGCTAATTGCATGACACCTCACTATTACATATTGGACACCCATGCAAGAGTGCATGTACCCGTGCAACTCTCACATCACCCTATTTAAAAGTCAACTTTCTTCCCTCTCTCTTATCCCTCCTCACTCTTTGCCATAGGGCCTTCATTACCATCATCACTTTTCATCTTCCAACTCAAGAATTCTCTCTCATTTTCCTCTCTAGCACAAAGAACATCCCCCTTCCATCCTAATAGTTTTCGAGAATTTCAAGAGCACACCAAGAACTCTTCATCAAGGATCATCCCATTTGGTAAGTTTTTGGTTAGACTTCATAGTTTTAATTTCAAGTTACACCAAAAATCTCTTCTTAACCCACATCATTTCATGATCTATGCTCTTAGAACATACTAAAGTTCGAAAATCCTTCTCAAGAAGCTTGCTAGGGCCGAGACCTCCTCATCTCATTGCCAAAAATCAAAAACATCAAAGCAAAGTGAGTTTATACCCCATATTTTTCGATTTTTACTTGGTTTTAGGGGAACATACAAGTTGTTTTGTATAGATATATGTGTGTATGCATGATTTTGTGTGTTTTCTTTGGTTACATATGTGTTTATGTGTTGTAAACTTCATGAATTAAAAGATCTACTAAAAAGATGATGATATTGGTATAACATAACACTCTTTTCAACATATCTCACAAGAAAAAGGTTTAAAATATATCAAGAATACTTGAATCTAAGAAAACTTCATGAAAGGAGCTAAAAATGACAAAAATGATAAAAAAAAAAATATAGGTTGTTTATGTAACTCTCGGATAGCATGTGGGTCAAAAGGAATTTTTTGCTAAACAATGGCTAAACTTGGCATTTGAGACCTTATAGGGACAAAAAATGTAAATATTTTTATAAATGGGCCTTATTTGGGCTTCTCACGGTTTTGGGCCCAAAAATGGTAAGTTTTGGTCTTTTGTGGGTTAAATTATTCATTTTCAAGAAAGTTGTGTTAAACATGTAAGTTTTTGATAAAAATGGGTCAAAGTTGCGAAATTATGAACATTTGGGCCAAAAAGATGAAAATTTCTATATATGGGCCAAAAATGTATATTTTCACAAAAATCAAGCCAAAAATGATATTTTTGACAAAAATGAGTTAAAAATGTTATTTTTACAAATACTAGTCTTAATACAATTTTTGTCCAAAATGGGGCCAAAAATATTATTATTTTTTTTTTACTAAAATTGGGCCTTAATTGCAAATTTTTGGCTTAATGGGCCAATGATGTCATTTTTACAAAAAGTGGGCTCTTATGCTATTTTAGTAAATAATTGAGCTAATACTAGCAAAATAATAACAAATGGGCTAATTTTGTCATTCTCAAGTTATTGGGCCTTAGTGGCCTATTTATATGCTTGATGGGTCCCGAATACTATTTATTTGTTTATTGGGCCTCATTGACCTATTAACATGCGTGACGGACCTTGGAAACTATTTGCATGCTATTTGGGCCTGTAAATACCTTACATGTGAAATCGGCCTTAGTTATCCTTTTACATATATTTTGGGCCCATGTTATATAATCTCGTTCCCTTTGGGCCTGAAAATGACTTACGTGTTTAGTGAGCCTTAGTGGCTGCTTACATGGTTCATTGGGCCCGAAATGAGTTTTATATGTTTCTCTTCACGTATAATTTGATTAAGGATCTAATGAGACGTGTCGGTTGACACCTATTTATAGATCTATACAGGGGTGACGCCCTACCCCTGAGCTGTTCGCTATAGTTAGACTAGACCAGTCTAGGGTGACAAAACGTACCATATTCCGTTGGCGTCCGAAAGACGTCAATACAAGCGAAATTCTCCTTATCAAGTATGATTATAACGACTCACTTAGAGAAATTAACATTATGAAATTTACGGGAGACCATTATGTTGTCTATTTGGATTATTCAGGAACATACTCGCACTCAACCTCGGGGTTTGGTATGGCAGCATTCTCTTTTATAGACAACATAGGGTTGTCTAGGGACATTCTCTTTACGTTCTCTTCACTTACTTTTGGGATTCTACTAAACAAAAACACACATGCATAAATACCAGATTGGACACAAACACACTAAACTATTTTAAGAAAATACATGATTTTTTTTGTGATTACAAAGTTATACAAATCATTTTCTCAAAACATGCTTATGAACTCACCAACATTTTTATGTTGACCTTTTCAAATTAACTTGTATTTTCAGGAAACCGCTGAAGTAGGTTGAACTGAACGATCTAATGGATGTTTTATTATATTTTGTTCCATCGTACTTTTATATTTCTGGCATGTAATATGTCACAACTAGCATTTTAGCTAGGAAATTCTATCCTAATGTAAACATCATCTATTTTAAGGCATGTATTCTAAGTAAAAATCATACGCTATGCTTAATCAAAACCATCCATTTGAATCCAAACTCTTGATTTAAGTTTAAAACCTATTACAATACATTCCATATAGTCAAGTACGGGTTGAAAACCCTAGAAATCCCGGTTCAAGTTAATATGGACTAGGATCCTAGTATTAGGCCTGATGGACCAATAAACTTTCAATTTAACTACATTGGGCCTAAGAACTCTATTTTGGCTCTAATTGGACTTACTTCCAAAAGATTAGGGCAATTTGGATCATACGGGCCTAGAATAATCCATCTTACTTCTAATGGGCCATGATGAACCATAACTAGTTTCGTAAGCCCTAATGGGCCGTAAACTACCTCATTGGGCACCATTGGGCCGTGAACCTTCGTAAAGGCCCAATAGGCCGAAAAATATTTGTTTTGGGCCTCATGATTTCGAACTAAGTCAAGGAATCGCCAAACCATCTCATTTCCTTTCTCCTAGCCTATTCTTAGCCCAATCAAAGCAAATGAAAAAAGGGAAGATTCAACTTGCTAGTGCCACCTCTTTGTTGCATGGAGGACTTCCATGCTATAATACACGAAATATCAAGACACTTCTGTAACATCTCAAATTTCAGAAGTATAATTTAAGGGATTAAGTGTAAATTTGAAGCATGGACTCGTCGAGTAGGATCGCTTACTCACTGAGTCGGAGCGGGTTTGGGTCACGGATTAAGTGACAAACTCGCCGAGTCGGAAGCTGGACTCGACGAGTTGGTGCTGAAGAGGGAAAACCCTAATTCCAAGGGTTGTGCCCTATATAAAGAACACTATATTCCTCCCTCAGCCTCTTTACTTCCCTATTGAGTTCTAGAGGCCCTAGAAATGAGTGAGCTTTCATCATTTGAGAGAAAAGAACTTTGGAG